TGGTGTCACCCGTTGAAACCGAATCTTCTCTCTTGGTTGGAACAAGAAGAATTGAGGACAGTGGAAGGACGTGTTCTCCAAGGTGAGTGTTTGTAAGATAAAACCATAGACAGTGAGAAGTTCAGTATATTTGGAACTATAAGGAAGAAAATTTTTAAGATGCACTCTTTTCTCAGAAGGCTGAGGCCATTGGTGTCTGACGTTTTGGGACATCTTCAACTTCCCTTACTCTTGTTTTATATGTCCTGAAACTTTCCAATGATCACAAAATGTCCTTTGTTTTTTTCTTTTTTAAATTTATCATTTCGATATCAGCTCCTTGTCTAGACTTTCATATTAACATCCTTGATATTTTCTTTTATTCATGATCACTTTTCATTTTTGTATAATAATTTTGTCATAAAAAGTGTTAAAATGTAGACCCCTTGTCTTTATCATTGCTACATTTTTGATATAACCATAGTACTCAAGTCTATATTTCCCTTTTTTTAGTATATTTAATTTGAAAAATAACATAAGTGAGCCTGATCATTTTGAACTTTTTATCATAACGTTTTTTTCTAAGATCTAAATTTGTTCATTTGTTTTATCACAGAATGAGATATGGGCTTCAGTGAAAGAATGAGCACATCAGGAAGATGTTGCAGGGGGAACCGTCTCCCAAATAGGATACAAATGGGAAAATGTTTGTTCGTTTGATTGAAATAAGCATTTCAATCCAGAAATTATATTGTCATTAATAATTATTAACAAATCTAAATAATTATTGGGAACAAGTAAACTAAATAGATAGGGAAAAGATAAAAGTGTTGGGTGAACTTTTTAACAATAGTTATGTTATGGTATATGTACTTAAAATAACTTGAAAACCTTTTGGTAACTTGTAACCTAAGAGTTTTGCTAAATTAAATGATAAAATTTATTGAGTATCTAGGTCATTTCCACCTAAGATAAAATATTAGATATTAATTACTAAACATAGACTTATATACCTTTGGCTTCTAATTACAGAGAAACTCAAAAATACTTGGGTTTATTGATAAACTTGTGTTGTGTTGCACTGAGACTTTTGATGAATACACACATGTTTCTAGTCAGTCCTTGTTGATCTGCCACTCCACAGAATGCCAATGTAAAAAGTTAAGGAAAGTAGGATGTATGTTTTCAGTAAAGAAGGTATAAGAAAGGGAGATGTTCCCTTTGTTTTGTTAAGAAAAATAAATTTGTCCTAGAGTACTAGGAAGGAGGGAAGTCATGGGACAAATTCTAAATGTAAAAGGAAAGTTATAAAATTTTTGTGAAAGAGGAATGCTGAGGAAAGAGTTTTGTGTATTAATTAAATTTAATTAAGCGAATGAGTTTCAATATCAGATGTGAGCTGGTGCAGAATTAGAATTTGTTTTCCTTTCATTTAAAAGAATAATTTCCTTGGACTTTTAGTCTGCTTTTGATAAAGACATTATGAAAGGTTTACTTCATTACCTTTAAGTAGCCTGCCAGAAGACTAAGGATTTTATGTTTTATCAAAATACATTTCCTGTATTGTCTTTATCAGGCCTTTAATCACAGGAGCTAAGGTTTCTCTTACAGCTCTTTAATATTCTGTATTTGCTTGAAAATCTTTAATACTCACCATGCTTAATTGGATAACTAAGCATTGTTTCACAGTGACCTATGATCTTGTTTGGCCAAGAGTTTTTAAACTTTCTGATATTTTTGACAAGCTCTCCCCAAATTCAAACCCTACATGAAGTCTTGCTTTTGATCTAAAAAATAACTTTGAGAATTTCCAGCAGCCCTCTGGGACTTCTCAGAGAATTTGTTGTCTTCCTATTAATAAAGAATACTGGGGCTGGCCCAGTGGCGCAGCGGTTAAGTTCGCATGTTCCACTTCAGTAGCCCAGGGTTCACTGGTTCGGATCCCAGGTGTGGACATGGCACCACTTGGCAAGCCATGCTGTGGTAGGCATCCCACATATAAAGTAGAGGAAGATGGGCATGGATGTTAGCTCAGGGCCAGTCTTCCTCAGCAAAAAGAGGAGGATTGGCAGCAGATGTTAGCTCAGGGCTAATCTTCCTCAAAAAAAAAAAAAAAAAACACAAAAGAAGAAGGAATACTAAACTAATTAGGTTTATTTGTTATGTTAAATTCCGTGGGAAGTATTGTCAAGTAAATGATGATAAACCTTCTTAGGTTATGTTGAATGAGTGAATATTATTCATTATCTTAACCCTACTACCTTGCTTCCAACAGGTAGGAGGAAAATGACCATGACTGCATTTTATTATCTAATATGGTTTACAGATGAGTCTTACTTAAATGATCAGCAAGGACATTATCACGTTGAATGTGCTGTCCAGCCTTGAGAATGCCTGCTGCTTCCTACTAACTCTCCTAACTCAGTAAAAGATTTCCTTCTACAGGCTTGAGAAGTCACTGCAGAAGAAGAGAAACAAACATGGCAAAGAAAAGGGGGAATTTTTGACACCACCATGCAGATGTAGCTTGGTCCTGATAAAAAAGAAAAAAAAATCCATAGTGTCTATTGTACACACTTGCCATTGCTCCAGCATATACATAAGTTAACCCATTGAGCACTTGAGAAGATGAGTTTATGGAGAAAAGAATACTTTTGGAAACTTTCTCCCACAGTAGCTCATAAAGCTTATGCTCATTTTGCTGTATGTGCAAAATATAATCCTGAGAAACCACTTCACGGGTCACAAAGCCACTTTCCCCTTCCTAAGAGACCCCTTGAGGTATGGCGGTTGGACTTTGTTCAATTGCCACCGTCTCAAGGATATAATTGTATCTTGGTAATCTGTGTGTTCTCACATTGGGTTGAGGTCATTCCTTGCAGAAGAGCAATGGCTTTAGCAGTAGATGAATTATTGTTGGAAAGGATAATTCCTGTTTGGGAATTCCTGTTGAGTTACACAGTAACCAGGAAACTCATTCCACCAGGCAAATAATTAAGTCTGTTTGTGATGTTTGGCCAATAATGCAACATTTTAACTAACAAACGGCACAATCAAAACTCAGTTGGCAAAGCTTCCAGAAGCATTTAATCTCTTATGGCCAAAAGCTCTTCTGCTAGTGCTCTTCAATCTTATATGTAAAGCATTTTGGAAAGATTGGCTGTCTCCTTTTGAAATAATAACAAATGACCTATGCAATTATATGAAGGGGAATATATGAACCAACTTTGCTTAAATGAGAAACCTTACATTATTGTCAAGGTCTCATTCAGACACTTAAGTAAAAAAGAAATGTTGGACAGCAAGCTCCCAGGAGATGAAGACCTTAAGCATCATGGACTACAACCTGAGATTTCGTTTATTGGAAAAGACACCAGATAAAAGACTCTTTGCAGCCCCATTGGAAAGGACCATACCAGGTACTCTTAACCAATTCATGCACTGCAAAATCAAAAGGCATAGACTCTTGGATTCACATTTCTCATCTCAAAAGCCTTCTCCACCTGAAGCCTGCGTAGGTTTCAGTTCCTATTTCTGATACCCAACTTCGACTGACCAAGAGAAATATCTCGAAACCAGGATGAGAAGAAGATAGCATCTCTTACAGACAGCTGTCCCAAGGCTCCAGACCAGGCCCATATTCCCAACCTAATATCTCCTCATGTATACCTTCGTCATGCTTAAACCATATAACCACTTTGCAATTGTTCCTTTTAAGGTTTCCAGAAGTGACTGTTTTGAAAGAGACTGGTCTCAAAGGCCAGGCAATGATTGAGTGGCTCCTAATGGAACTCAGTGATTATGTTGAACAAACCTCTGGCCTTGGCGAGCACCGAGATGGGGAGCACACTGCACCCTGGGCTTCTCTTGGGTGCAGGGAAGGATTCACCCTGAGCTAACACCTGTTGCTAATCTTTCTCTCCTTAAGGCCGGATAGGCTCATTCAGTATTCCACTCATACGACCACAAGTAGTTATATTTGTTTCTTCCTTGGGGCTAGAAGATGTCATATAACATACAGAAGCCCTGACTAAATTTACTCAAAAAGACCTTGACCTTAGTCAAGGAAGAATAGCCTTATTGAATACTCAAATGTCTTTAATGAGGAAGGCTGTCCTTTAAAATAGAATAGACTTAGGTATTCTAACCGTATCCCAAGGTGGTACACATGCAATCATTCAAACTCAATGCTGTGTTTTTATACCCGATTCATCTTCCAATGTGCCATCTCTGCTAAAGCACATGAAAAAGCAGGTGAATGCCCTTAAGCATAAGGAGTCATGTAAAAGCACATGTACAATGTTTGTGTGACAATCTAAAATTCATTGAAAAATTATATAATCTATCAAATGCTTCCTCTGATAACATACATTTCTGTGCTTGTTAACTGTATCCCCTAACATGGACAACTGGGCAAATTAATGCATAACTCTATAAATTAACTAAAACAATTGAATTTACATCATCATGGGTGAATGTCATGTATGTAAATTAACCTCAATGAAAATCATCAAAAGATAAATGTCTACAGAGATTTTCCTGGAATTACTCAAGGCGAGTTGAAAACCTTAACCTTTGTTTTCCACAGGATCCATTACACATCAATTTTATTATGCTCACCCCTCTATATTGCAATCATTTGTACCTCTCTTGTCCCCTCCTCAATTTTTACACAGTAGAAAACAAATAACTTTGGGTCAAACTTAATGGGATCAAAATGAATTGAGGCCATATCAAAAAAATCCTTTCATCTTTAACAAATTATAACTTTTGAGTAATTTTTCAGTTCTTACTATGTCTCTAATAATTACTTTCTTTTTTTCTCTCAAAGTCCAAAGTATTTTCATGATATTGTCTTGAGACATCAAGTCTTTATTACCTGTGTTGATTTTGGTTCCCACAGAAGCAGACACTGAGCCAAGGATTCATGTACAATCACTTTATTGGAAGGAGCAGTGAATGGATGGGAGAGAGGACAAGTGGACACAGGGAAGAAAATACACCCAATAAAGCTTGAATTAAGTCAGCTACCACAGGAAATGAGCAGAGTTTTCATCCTGTGGGGAAATTCTGGAGAATTATACAAAATCCAAACCTCAAAATTATCCCAGCTAAAGTGTGAAGGATATGGCACAACCCACATGTCTCCTTCAAGGGATGTATCTGATGGGGCGTAATTGCCTGCCACTTATGCCATCATGTATTGGGCAAAGTAGGTTCCAGTTGCTGCTGGTCATTGGCAGTCATGCATTGGAGATGGTGAGAGGATCCCAGGAAATGTCAGAGGAATGTTCACAGCATCTACTTCTCCATCTTTCCCTGTACACTCAATTCTATCATCATTCTTCTGTAAAGGTGAGCTCAGTTCTCAACACTTTCTACATGTGTGTAACTATGATTCCTGATGGCAACTCCAGAGATTCCCAGAAAAAAATTAAACCATGTGAGAAAACAGCTCTGATTCTATTGTATTCATTTCTATGTGTTTTAGGATCTTAGATGGTGTATCTCAAAATTGCTGTGTTGGGGGAAAAAAAGGTCAAATGAAGGAAGGGAAGAAAGAAGGAGTGAAGGTAGGGTCACAAAGAATGAAGACATATCTCAGAGTTATTCTAGTTGGGGTATTACTATGAATCACCTGAACAAACCAGTCCTTAAATCTATGTTCCTACTTTGAAGTTGAAAATCACATCACTGTTCTTAAGAAAAGTAGGATAGCAAAGCCAGTGTCAGCTAGCCAGGCCACAGTCCAACTCACTCTTAGTCTCTTCTTTTGAAAAGTGGGGTAAAGGTGGGAAAATATCTCACAGGAATGTTTTCAAGATGAAATAAAGTCATAGTTGTGAAGAAACAACCACAGTCCTCATGTGGTAAGCAGTGGAGATGACTGTATAATTTTTGCTCCATTTGTTGTGGAAAACTAAGCCCACAACCAAATGAAGGTGAAGAACATCAACGTTTGAGAGGATATTCTGGAGGAAAACCACAATAGCACTTGACAGAATAAACGCTTTAAATCTAAATTTAGAAATATGAAGAATTGTGGCAAAAAAAAAAGCTGACCAAACTTGGAACTTTAATGAGCAGCATATAAGAAAGAAAAATCCAAAAGGAATTATTGAGGAGAATTGTTGGGGAGAAATTAGCACATCATACAAATAAAATTGAAGTCATAGGTGCTTCGGGAATTGAAGAAATCAAGCACTTGTTTTAGGGGAGAAAAAGAACCAAGAGATTTCAATTTGCAACATTTGCCTTTGGGGCCCACAAGGTCCACTTAGTTCTGAGGCCAGTAATGATCACAGACAAGAGGCTGCTTGGCTGAGGAGCCTTCCCAGGGCCCTCTTCACATCCCTGTTCCTCAGGCTGTAGATGAAGGGGTTCAGCATGGGGGTGACCACGGTGTACACCACTGAGGCGACCGAGCTTCTCTGGGAAGCATGGGTCACAGCAGAACTGAGGTAGACCACCATGCTTGTCCCATAGAACAAGGAGACCACAGAGAGGTGAGACCCACAAGTAGAAAATGCTTTATACCTGCCCTCAGTGGAGGCCATCTTCATTAAGGATGAGACAATTTGAGAGTAGGAGAACAGGATCCCCGTCAGAGGAAACACACACAAAAGGGCCGTGGCCACATATAAAGATATGTCATTGATGAAGGTGTCAGAGCAGGCTAATTTGAGAACCTGAGCCAGTTCACAGAAGAAATGTGGAATTTCAGTGCCTATACGGAAGGTCAGCCGCACCATCAGTAGAATATGAAGCAGGGAAATACAGAAAATAATGACCCAAGATATCAGAATCAAGAGGCCACAGAGGCGTGGGTTCATGATGACCGTGTAGTGCAGTGGGTGACAGATGGCCACAAACCGGTCATAGGCCATCACAGTCAGCAGGAAATTATCCATTCCACCAAAAACCATAAAAAAATACATCTGAGTGAGACATCCTCTGTAGGAGATGTTTTTGTTTTGTGTCTGGATGTTCACTAGCATCTTCAGAACAGTGGTGGAGATGAAGCAGATGTCCACAAAGGACAGGTTGGAGAGGAAAAAGTACATGGGGGTGTGGAGCTGGGAGTCAGAGCTGATGGTCAGGATGATGAGCAGGTTCCCAAGCACGGTGACCAGGTACATGGACAGGAACACTCCAAAGAGCAGGGGCTGCAGTGCAGGATCCTCTGAGAGACCCAGGAGGAGGAATTCTGATATTTCTGTGTGGTTTCTTGATTCCATGTAGCTGGTGTCTCTTTTGGAAAAGGAGGCAAATGCAGTGTTCAATGAATAGCCAACTGACAACTGAGCCAGTCAGCACCTCTTAGTTCCACCTTTACCTGGACAAACTTTGTCCTGAGTTGAGTCACTACAATATAAGTTATTCACTCACTCAAGTGGTAGCCCATTTGCATTTTAAATGTGTGTAATCATTCAGACATCCTGTAATTTAGCAGAAATCTCTCTTTTTAATCTCCTACTCACTGATTCTACTTCTCTTATTCAAACCTGTGGACATAAACCAATTTACTCTTTGATATGACTTTTAAAATAAAGACATACTTTGGTAATCTCCATACATCCATCATTCTAAAATCTATAAAATAGTGATTAAGACATGAGTTTCCAGGGGCCAGCCTGGTGGTGTAGTGGTTGAATTTGTATGCTCTGCTTCAGCAGCCCCAGTTCTTGGGTTTGGATCCTGGTCACAGACCTACACCACTCATCAAGCCATGCTGTGGCAGCAACCCACATACAAAATAGAGGAAGATTGGCATAGGTGTTATGTCAGGGCCAATCTTCGTCAAGCAAGAAAAGGAAGAATGGCAAAAGATATTGGCTCAGGGCCAATCTTCCTCACCCAAAAAAAGCAGACATGGTTTTCAACTCAAACAACTTTAATTCTGTGAGTTGATGCTTCCTATTGATGTCACAATTAACTCTCATGTGTCTTATTGTTTTCTTTTAAAAATGTAGTTACTGCTCTTAGCTTCTTTGTGAGGTTTAGTAATGCCTTTGTGCATAGTAGCATCTCAATAAATAATAGCTATTATTAATCGGTTCCTTTTGTGACTATCTTTTTTTTTTTTTTTTTAAAGATTTTATTTTTTCCTTTTTCTCCCCAAAGCCCCCTGGTACATAGTTGTATATTCTTCATTGTGGGTCCTTCTAGTTGTGGCATGTGGGATGCTGCCTCAGCGTGGTTTGATGAGCAGTGCCATGTCCGCGCCCAGGATTCGAACCAACGAAACACTGGGCCGCCTGCAGCGGAGCGCGCGAACTTAACCACTCGGCCACGGGGCCAGCCCCTGTGACTATCATTTTTGATATATAACTCTCCCAAAGTACAAAATAGAGTTGTGATTTAGAAAATGGAATCTTGGGTTAGACTTCCTAAATAGAATTTAGCTGCTCCAACTTACTATCTGTGTGATCTTGAGGAAGTTATTTAATGTCTCCTAGCTGTAGATCCCTCACCTCTACAATGGGAGTAGTAAATATGCTCTACATTGTGTGACTGATGAGTAAATTAGATGAGATGATGCATGTAATTTTTCTTGTGATTCCTGTGACATATAGTGGACACTTGATAAATGTCAGCTTCTGTTCTTAACATCACAATAAATCTGTCTTGCATGAGTACCTTTTATCAAATTTTCCTTAAACTAGGGCAGTCACCAAAGATGGAATTCTGATCATTATAAACACAACAGGTCTGTTACCCCTTTGACCACCATGCAGCACTAATTAATGAAGATCCCTATGGCTTCCTCTATCAGAGACTGCCTGTCAGATAGATTCTTCCAGAAAAGGGAAATCTTGTGGACTACATAGATAAGGGAAGGGAATAAAATCACAAAACCACTAAAATAAGTGTAAACATGTGTGAGAGTGTCTGCTCATGTGTACATGTTCAGAAATGTGTATGTGTTGTATTAAAAATCAGTGCAGTTAATTTCAAAACGTCATTGATAGATTGATAAAAAAATTATTCAAAGCTTCAATAAATCAAGTCATCCTACAAAGCGAAAGGCAAATTTTAGATTTGATAATAAATGTTGACATTCTCTGTGTTAGAAAAAAAAGCCAGTGTTATTAATGCTTAGAGAATGCTAGTTAATAAGAGAAAATAATCACTGAGGACCAATTTAGTTGGGAGGTGAGTGGAAAAGGCTTCTCTGAAATATGAATATTTGAGCTGTAAGAGGAAGGATGGGCAATTGTTAACCAGGGGAAATAAGGAAAGGACAAGCATTTCGGGCTGAGAGAACAGAATTCACGGTTGCCCTGTGGGTCAGTGAGCTTGAGATTGGAAGGGATTTCAGAGGCCAGTGAGATGGAGAGCAGAGTGGGTGAGGCCCACAAGTCCAGCTCCTCTACTTTTCCTTGGCGTGCCTCTCAGTTTGGTAATTTTATGTTCATTTGCGGGTCAGAGGACCTGAGTGTTTTTGCTCACCATTATCTTTCCAAGGGCTTATATGGTGCCCAGTACATAGTGCGTGCTCAACACCTGCAAATGTTAGATGGACAATAAAGACTGAGACTCAATGCATCAACTATGACACACAAAAAAAATCTGCAAGCTCATGTATGCCTGAATATAGACACAAAATTGAACGATCAAGTTAAATCAAATGCGTTCATATCTATTTTAGGAGAGTAATACATCACAAATAAGTAATACCTATTCTAGGAATGGGAAGCTGGTTTAATACTGTGATGTTAGTTAACATAATTCACCATGAAAATAGGTCAGTGAAGAGAAATCACAACCATAATCACAGTACAAAATGCCTTTGAGAAAATGTAACAACCATTACCATGGTTAGCACCCAGACAGAGCCTCTTACTAAATGAAGAAACTAAAGAAAATTTCTTAAACCAATAAAGAGCGATTGTTTTATAGCCTCAGCCAACAGAATATTCTACATTAAAACACTAAAATATTTGTGTTAGATTTATGAACAGACCAAGGCAGTCTACTCCAATCATTCGATATTCTGCAGAACATTTAAGATATTGGTGAGATGAGAACAGGAAATTGGCCTGAGTACTGAGCATCAGAAATAATCACATTATTTGTAGATGATATTGTGGACACTAAGGTGAAACAATAACAACAATCAATACAGAACTATTATGTTACTATTATGTGCTATCAGTGAGTTACATCTTCTGCAAAATAGTTAGAGAATGTAATAGAAAAAGCAAATCACATTAGGAATTAACTAGACAGTACCTCGTGCATAATAGATCTCCAGTAAGTAGGTAGTGAATAAATGATTGGACATAGGAAATCCAACAGAAGCCTACAATTATGGGAAAGAGTAGAGAAGAGATGGAGACACCCCAGAAACTAACTCTTATTGAAAAGAGGCTCTAGATTCCAGAAGAGAGAGAAAGAAACACAGCAAGTGCTGGAAAAGATTGATTTCAGTAGAAACTAAAGTACGTTCAAAGTCTAGAGACTGCACCATCATAGACTAAATAAAAACGGGACTGTCCCAGTCTCATCACTCAAGAGGTAAGTCTAGAGTATCCGCTTTCTCTCCTCTTTTCCTTTTTGCTCCACCAGCCCTCGCTGGGACACTATGACCCTCACTGAAGCTTCCTGTTCTCTGAGGTCTGTCCTTGCAAAGCCCAGTTGGATTTTCACCTAAGCAGGAATCAGAAAATTATAGGAAAAGGGCAACAGGGACATGTTATTATCATCTCAAGTGTTGAATTCTCAGAGGTCCTCATTAAATAAACTTCTCTTTTGACTTTCCTCTTTCCAAACAACTCAGCTCCCTTGGGGTACAAAGATAAAAGAATGGAAAATTTTCAGCCATGTTGTGTCTGTGTGCAGGCAACAGTGGGGAGAAAGAGGGTATTTTCTCCAAAGAAAAATTCTTCTTTGGTTTGACTTAAATGTGGTAAGATGTCCCTTAAGGTTGTTTAATTTCTACAGGATCTGAACCCAGCTACCGTCAATCACACCAACGATAATACTAGAATTAGAAATGAGCATGGGGGTGCAGATATGTTTCCAATTTGCTCTCTCTCCCAGTCTTTGCCTGAAACTGGACCTCTTCTACACCAACTGAACAATTGTAACTGTCAGAAATTTGTTGAGTGGATTTCACCTTCTTTCTTCCATTAATTCATCTGTTAATTTCAGAATGTCCTGTTTTTTATATGCATTTCACTGACACGTCAAATTTAGATAATTTGCCTCTGTAAAGAAAAAACCCAGATCTAATAGTAGTATAAATGATGGAATAGAAAACGAAACAAGAACTATGGTTTAGACAGCATGTTTCCCACATTATGAACAAAAGGGAATAGTTACAGAAGGGCATATTACACACATCTTGGGCGCTGTAATGGACTGAATTGTGTGCCCTCGAAATTCATTCGTTGAGACCCTAATCTCCAGTACCTCAGAATGTGACTGTATTTGGAGAAAAGGGCCTTTAAAGAGATAATGAAGCTAAAAAGGGGTCACTAGGCTGAGCCCTAATCCAATTTGACTGATGTCTTTATAAGAAGAGGAGATAAGGTCACACAGAGAGACACTGGCGGCATTCATGCACAGAGAGACGACCATGTGAAGAGGCAGCAAGAGGCAGCCATCTGCTAGCCAAGGAAAGAGGCCTCAGAGGAAAGCAACCTTGCTGGTACCTTGATCTTGGACTTCCAGCCTCAAGGATGGTGAGAAAATAAATGTCTGTGGTTTAAGTCACCTAGTCATTGTATTTTGTTAAGGCAGCCCTGGGTGACTAGGGGAGGAACAATTCAAAATCCTCTCGCCCCATCTTTTTATTCCAGCCGTGTCTTCTTTAATTATTTCAATGGAGGCTGTGAAAAGCTTTGCACAGCTGCAGTTGGACAGCACCTGCCTCAGGCCCATGCCACATTCCTCCTGCTTCCTGCCCTGAAGCTTCTCTGATACCACAGTATGTGACACCTGAGGGAATCTGCTCTGTATTCACAAATGTGCAAATCAGAAATGTGGGGATGTTAATCCCTCTGGGATCATCCTTGGCCAATAGAAGACATGAGCTGATTTCATCTATCTAGGGGAAAGTTCTGAGATGCATTTCATAATGCACCTCACAAGGGTTTGGTGGCATTGAGCACCAGTCACCCACAGAGGGATCAAAATGATAATGGTTCCTTTCAGTGTTTTTCCTTCCTTCTCAGTTGGACTCCCACTGTTCTGTACTCCCACTCCTTAAGATCTAATTTCCACCCAAAAAAACCCATCTGCACACAGCCTTTGTGTTGAAGGGCTGCTTTCAAGGAAACACATCATAAGATGGGAGAAGGGCAGTAAAATGATGCTTTGGCTTATAAAATAGTAACAAAATTGCTAATGTTAATGAAATAATGCTAAACTCTTTGTAGTTATATTAACAGATCTTGTCATTGTTATACCTCAATGTCTCCATGTATGCTGTTTCTTTTTTGGGTTTTTTGGTGAGGAAGATTAGCCCTGAGCTAACATCTGTGCCAATCTTCCTTTATTTGTGTATGAGGGTCACCACCATGTCATGGCTTGATGAGTGGTGTAGGTCTGCACCTGGGATCTGAACCCACAACCTCAGGCTGTTGAAGCGGAGTGTGCCGGACCCAAC